GGGCCACGCAACGCTGTACTGGGTGGCGCGGACGCATGCGAACCCTGCCAGTGGGGCCTTCGGTGGAGCTCCCGATGGGGCCACGAAACGCTGCCCTGGGCGGGGGAACCGCATGCGAACACCCCCATTGGGGCCTTCGGTGGAGCTCCCTATGGGGCCACGAAGCGCTGTCGGTGGAGCTCCCCATGGGGCCACGAAGCGCTGCCCTGGGTGGGGGAACCGCATGCGGGCACCCCCACTGGGGCCTTCGGTGGAGCTCCCTATGGGGCCACGCAACGCTGCCGTGGGTGGGGGAACCGCATGCGAGAGCAGCCAATGGGGCCTACGGTGGAGCTCCCTATGGGGCCACGAAGCGCTGCCCTGGGTGGGGGAACCGCATGCGGGCACCCCCACTGGGGTGCCTACGGTGGAGCTCCCTATGGGGCCACGAAGCGCTGCCCTGGGTGGGGGAACCGCATGCGAACACCCCCAGTGGGGCCTACGGTGGAGCCCCCTGTGGGGCCACGGACCGCTGCCCTGGGTGGGGGAACCGCATGCGAACACCCCCAGTGGGGCCTTCGGAGGAGCTCCCTATGGGGCCACGAAGCGCTGCCCTGGGTGGGGGAACCCCATGCGAACACCCCCACAGGGGCCTTCGGTGGCGCTCCCCTTATGAGGCTACGAAACGTGTGAGAGGCATAGAGGGGGAGGAGGGAGGAGGGGGAGGGAGAAGCGGGAGGAGGAAGGAACGCGGGGCGCTGTCTCTTCAAAACGAGGACCCAACACCACAGGATGGCTGGGACAAAATCATAGAAAAATCGCCCCCCGACTTTTCTTGGACTATTTTTGAACAGTCCTCCTGTGGAGGGACGTGCCCGACTGCACACTACTCTTGAAGATCCCTTCTGTAGGGGCACATGCCCGACTCAAGGCTCGTGGCGGCGCGCCGCGTCGCGCCCAGGACGAGGGGGGGAGGCGCGGGCGAGGGCGGCCGCAGGTGCGCCGGTGGGCCGCGGGGCCGCCCGTGGGGGGGGGGAGCGGCGGGAAGGGGGGGGGGGGCAACACACGCCTCCGATGGGGTCCCGAGGAATCCTGTGGTTAGGTCGGGCGTGTCCTCCTGCAGGCGGAGCTTGGACGCACAATTGAAAACAGTTTTAAAACAATACTCAAAATCGTCCCCGAACTATTTTCTGCCTACTTGTGAATTTCCCACCTTTGGAAGGACAGGCCCGACCTAATCCTGGGGGAGCCCGGGGAAAAGGCTCTCCGCGGGCCCCCCGGGGGCTCCCGAGAGGGCGCCCCCGAGGCCTCCTCCGCGGGGGGATTTTCCCCGAGGGGCCCCGCGGGGGCCCTGCGGCCCCCACCCTTCTCCTCGGAGCTCCTCGGCCTCGGCCCTCCTCGAAACCCTCCTCCTCGGGGCCCCCGAGCGCGTCCTTCGGTGACCCCGTGCTTCCAACGGCGGAGGAGGAGGGCCGGAGGGCGGTCCACCTGCAGTGTGCGGACGGGGCAGCCGGCGGCGTCGCGCCAAGGCCAGGGCCGCCGCTGCGGGGGTGGGGATGCCAGGCGCCAGGGAAGTCGGGACCATCGCAGCCGTCGGCCGGGCGCCCGCGCCCGTGGCGCGACCTCGCAGAGGATGCCAAGGTGGGCCAGACTTCGGGAGGTGGCGATAACGACCTCGATGTCGCCTGCGGCCCTGCAGCACGCACCAGGGCCCTCGTTTCGTCATGGAGCGACCTCCATTGCCACTGGTGCTGGAGGCCTTTGAGTCGGGCACTCCTTGCCAGCGGCGAGGGCGAGCGCACGACGCATTCGGGCGGAGGGCGGGCCGCGCTGGGGCTGCGGTTGGGTCGGGCACGTGCTCTTATAGGCGGATTTTGGACGAGACTTTGGAAATATTGAAAGGATACCCCCAAAATGCCAGAAATAAATAAAACAAAGGCAACAAAGGGGGAGACGAGGGCGGCCGCGGAGGAGGAAAGCGGGAGGAGGCCTCCCTCAGGCGTCAGTCGGGGGCGCGCAAACATGGATTGGCGATCCATGGATTTGGCGCGCGGTCGCCAAATCCATGGATCGGGGGAGGCGCCCTCCCCGAAGTGCGGCCGGTGTCGCCTCGTTCGGCGGCGGAAATCTGTGATTTCCCATGGCAACGGGGCCCGTCGCTCGTCCACGCCCCTTTGGTCCATCTTTACGATCGCCAGACTCAGGGATCTTCGCCGCGAGGACTGCGCAGGCGGCCTCAAGTGCACCGGCGCGGGAAACTCGGGCACGCGCCAACGTCGCTTACGCGGCCCCGTGGGTCTGGCGCGTGGGCGCCAGGTCCACAGGTCGGGGGGACGTGCCCCCTGGTGCTATCTAGCGCCATGTTGGGCACCCGTTTTCTGATATAAGTGAGTTGCTCTGCTTGTTGATCTTCTTCTTCATGTAGCTCACGAGAAGCTAACCTCCCACTACAAACTGGTGAGTGCATGGCCGGGTAAGTCCGCCAAGCGGGGTTACTCTGAGCAAAGAGCCGCCTGACTTTGCGACGGAGCTCGCCGATTTGGCATGGGTGCGGGCCCGTCTCTGCCTCATCCACGCGTCTCGATCCACGTCTGCGTTGCCTCGAGGAACGCGTGCCGCGCCCGCGGCGCTTGCAATGTTTCCGCCTCGTCGTGGACGTCCACGCCGTGGGCGTCGAGACCTCCCTGGGCCTCCACTTGAGCAACGATCAGAAACGGGTCTTGCGCAAGATGACATGGCGACCTTACACACGCCACAGCTCACGCGGGCCGCCAGCGCGGCATGTTACACTGGAAGCGAACGCGCTTGCGCTGGACCTCGCGCGGGCAGTTTGCGCGCGAATGCTGGTGCAGTCGACCTCGTTTTCTTTCGTCGTTCACTTAGCCTGCCCTGTGACGGTCTCGGCTTTGCAATGAAGCTCGGGAGTCTACTGACCCGGGTCAATCCAAACCAGGGTGAGTCAAGCTTGGCAAGATCCTGCACCCAAGCCCGGGCCAACACGACTTTTGCCTTGCAGGATCCTTCAAGATCCGGCGCTGACTTGACGAAAAACAAACAACATAAACATACACTTTTCGGGCTCCGCGTGGATTCCGTGGATCTGCTCTGGACCCCCTTCCCTGGCGCGCGGAGCGCGCCAGTGGCGGCGCCAAAGGCGCCGCTGGGGGGGCCCCAGCGCGGATCCAAGAAACCCCCGCGGAGCGCCAACACATTATGTTCACGGCGTTTTTTTTGTTTGTTTTTGTTTTCTTCCTTCTTATTCTTAATCTTTATTATTTATTTATGTATTTGTTTATTTATTGAGATGACTGACCCCCGTTTGCCTTGGCCCCCGTCTCCTGAGCCCCGAGCGGCGCTCGGCAGCAGTCCTCCGGCCCTCCGTCCTCTGCCCCCTCCGCCGCCGAGGCGAGCGCTGCTCCACCGCGCGAGCCAGTGCCTGGCGGGGCCGCGGATGGACGGGCTCTTCGGCGCGGAGGAGAGAGGGCCCCGGCGGGAGGAGGGGGCGGCGGAGGAGGAAAGAGGAGGAGGAGGAGGAGGAGGAGGAGGAGGAGGAAAGAGGAGGATGAGGAGGAGGAGGGGGAGGAGGAGGAGGAGGAGGAGGAGGATCGAAACCGAGGGGGATGGGGAAGATGAGGCCAGAGGAGGTTCGACGGGGATGAGGTGCAGTCGGCGAGGAACAAGTGGCGGAGGTTTGCATTGCAGTGCACAGTGTTGCCGCCTTACTTGAACAACACATGTTCGCTGCGCACCCGATCTCTGGCATCTCTGCCACTCCATTCTCGTGAGCTGTCGAAGGAAGACGAATACTAGGGAAGTAGAGGGGGAGAACGAGGATAGAGGAGAAGGAGGAGGAAAGGGCGAGGATTGTTCCCCACTCGACATGCTGGGGCTTGTATACTTTCAGGCAAAGCCACGCGCCCGCCCGCCAGTACTGCATACCACGGCCGCCAAGCCCCAACAATCCCGATGGTCCTTCGTGTCCGGCCTCGCGTCCCCGACAAAAGGCTAAAGAACCAATCCGATCCTGCATACCGCGGCCGCCTGACCCCAATAGTCACGGTAATGCCTGGTGTCCCGCCTCGCGTCCTCGATAAATGGTGATAGTCAACGGAGGAAAAACCTACCGGACCCGATCATCGGCGTTTACTACATGGCCCTGGGCGTTTACTGAACAGCCTTGCCCTGCTCGATTCCTTCTTTGGGCGTGTTCACTACACAACTTCGCGTGTCGGGGTGGTTATTATGGGAGTGGATTTTTGACCTCTAGATCGGACCGATGAAAGTCTGGCATGACATATACACATACTACTCGTACAGGATGTGCGACAAGAAGACATGCTACCACACTACAGGTACAATATGCTAAAACACCACCACCGCACATGCATACCATTCATCGAATGAGCATCGGTTGTTGCATGCATACCAGACGCATATAGCATGCACGCACAACGTTCAAAATAGTGACACATCACGAACTAATGCGCGTTAGTCACACATGCGTAACACTCGCAATTTGCATGCACTACCAGTCGTGATGGCGCACAAGGGACGGCCATCTGTAGTGTAAGGACAAACGTGTAATATAAAAACGGAGCGTGTGATGCGCTCATGCAGACATAGCAGCCACATGCAACTTGCGTACCTGTCATGCACAAGTAACGCACGTAAAGACCATGCTAACAAGCACAAAGACACACTGCACCCCGTAGGAATCCATTGTACGCAACATGCGGAACAACCCACATGCATGCCATGCTCGGACAGCGTTCAACCCATCAAATATTTAAGGTACTCGTACGTAACACGGCAATCACCATCGATACTATACGTACGTGGCAAATAAGCGTGTAGCAAGCATTTCAAGCATACTCACCACGCGTACTTTGCATCATCGCAACTAAAAAGAGCACGCGCACACATCAGGGACACATCATTTGCACCTGTCACATGTTGACCTAGCAAGGGTGGACCACGAAAATTCATACTAAAAAGCGAACGGGCAAATCTATCATATTAGTGCACACAGGCCAGACATGTTTGACATACGTAAACGGCTTATTGATATACTCGATCAACCTCCACACAATTGGTCCCTCGCAACAATCTGGCCGCCAATTGCGGATGCTGGAACGGCCGTTTCGCCTGAGAGCTCCTCGCAATTCAGCACCACAGTTGGGGTCCTTCAGGGCCAAGTTGCTGTTACTCGCGAGTCCCAAAACGGCCTTTTCGCTTGAGACATTTGCGCGATCCAGCAGCACAAGGGAATTCGTCAGAGCAATCTTGCCGCCACTTTCGGAGGCCCCAGGAAGCCCCAGGACGCTCCAAGGATGTGTTCGGGGAGCGTTCTTCGGCCCCCCCGCTCCCAGAAGGCCCCAGGACGCATTGTCTGTATTGGGAAATGTGTTCGGGGAGCCCCTTTCGGGTCCCTCCTCCGCCCCCAGGAGGTCCCAGGAGACACTGCTCTGTATTTTGATGTGTTCGGGGAGCGCTTGTCGGCCCCCCCGCCCCCGGGAAGCTCCTCGAGGCCCCAAGAGACCCACAGAGACGCTTGTCGGTGTTGGAGTACGTCTTCGGGGAGTGCTTCTTGGCTCCCTGCATGCCCTTCGCCCCCTGAAGGCTTCGCCGCTGCTCTCCTGGGGGCTCCCCGAAGTCGCACTGACTTTTTTCACGTGTCGTGCGAGCTGAAAGTGGGAATGTCCCTGGGGAGAGGTGTGGGCTCGACCTCCTTGGGCGGGGCACCTGGGCGTGGGAATCTCGGCCCCCCTTTCCAAATACTCCCCCCCTGTGGCATGTAGAAGCATGGCGCATGAGGGTAGAATTATGGTTGAACATAATCGACAAAACAACATTTTTTTTGGGTGTTTTTTTTTAAAGCCCAGGGGGGCGCTGTGGGGGTCCCAAAAACAACAATTATTATTGTTGGACCCCCTCTCCAAGCGCTTTGGCGCTCTCGCCTCGGCCGGGGCTGCACTTCCTCTGGAATTGAAGCTCGCTCTCAAGCGTTTTGGGGTACCGCCCAAACCGACCTCCCAACAGCAACAGCGCTCCGGTGCGATACTTCCTAACAACTTGCTCCGAAAGGCCCTTGGCAGAGAGGGCCCGAACCTCAGGAAGAGCGCTCTCGCCTGAGCTTTTCTCGCAATTTAGCATCACACAAAGGGGTCCTTCAGAAGAATCTTGCCGCTACGTGCGGACGCCAGAACGGCCGTTTCGCTTGAGACTTCGCAGTTTAGCACCACAAGGGGGTCCTTCAGAGCAATCTTGCCACTACTTGCAGATGCCAGAACGGCCGTTTCGCTTGAGATTTCCTCGGAATTCAGCACCGCAAGGGGGTCCTTCAGGGCCAGGTTGCTGCTACTTGCGGATGCAGGAACGGCTGCTTCGCCTGATCTCTTTGCAATTCAGCACCACAAGGGGGGTCCTTCAAAGCATGCTTGCTGCTACTCGCGGATGCCAGGACGGCCTTTCGCTTGAGACGTCCTTGCGATTCAGCAGCACAAGGGAATCCGTCAGAGCAGTCTTGACGCTACTTGCAGAGGCCCCAGGAAGCCCCAGGACGCTTCAAGGACATGTGTTCGTGGAGCGTTTTTCGGCCCTCCCGCCACCAGGAGGCATTTTCTGTATTGGGATCTGTGTTCGGGAGCGCTTTTCGGCCCCTCCGCTCCCAGAAGGCCCCAGGGTATTGGGATGTGCGCTAGGGGATTGTTCTTCGGCCCCCCCGCTTCCAAAAACCCCCATGAGGCATATCCTCAAGCTATCAGGAGGATTCTTCAGGATCCTCAGGGATCGTCAGGGATTCTCTGGATTCCTCAGGACGTCTCAAGGATCCTCAGGGACTTTTAGGGATTCATCAGATCCAAACTGATTCCTCAAGATTCTTCAAGGATCCTCTGGATCCCCCCCGCAAGGATTCTCAAGGATCCTCAAGAAGCCTCAGGGATCGTCAAAAAAATCGGGGATTGTCAGAAATCCTCAGGGAGTGTCAGGCACCCTGCAGATCCTGGACCATTTGTCCGGATTCCTCAAGGATTCCCAGGGATCCTTCGGATTCCTCAGGGATTGTCAGGATCCCAGAGGATTCGTCATGGATCCTCAAGGATTTCAGGAATCCTGAGGGGTCCTCAAGGATCCTCAAGGATCCTGAGGATTCCTCCTGAGGGTTCCTCAAGATTCCCCAGAAATTCCAAAACGGTTTGGCACGGATTTCAATAGGTGCCGCTGCAGCCTATTGAACATCAAGCACAACGAGTACTTCTCTCAATATTCTCCCATGACCAGCGTAGCAGGGCTCGTGGAACGGAGCCTCCGCGAAGCGCGCATGTTCTTTGCGGGAAAAAAACATGAGTGGAACGCTCGTGGTGCTTCGCTTCCAATAGGCTGCGGTGGCACCGGGCGCTTCTCGTGGCCCGTGGCTCCCCCTCCCCATGGGGCCTCCGGCCAGAATTCGTATCCCCCCCCTTAGGAACTCTGGTGTTCGATGGGGCCTGCAAGTGGTGCTGTGGAGCTCTCATTTCTGAATCATACTTTGTGTGTATCCCCCCCGCGGCGCGCCCTCTCTATTTTTCCCTTGAAAAGTGCACTTCCCGGCGGCCTTTCTGTTTCCAATCTGGGACGATCTTGAGAGTCAAATCTGGCCCCCTGGCCCCCGAGGTACAACAACAACAACGGCTCCCGCCTGATACCTCATCACAATTTATTTCAAAATCGCGCTCTCGCGCGTGACTTCCTCAACATGTGCGCAGGAATCGCGCTCTCGCGTGGGACGTCCTCGCGATCTCGACGCTCAGGACTCGCGCGTTCGCTTTGGTTTCTCTCGCGGCTCACTTGGGAATGGCGCTATCGCGCGAGACCTCCTCCCGATTCATGCTGGACTCACGCTTCAACAGCCCGTCTGCTCGACCTGGCCGCTTGGGCCCGCCTTCCCGACCCGCCCGCTGGGGTCTACCCGCCCGATCAGGCCGTCTGGTTCTGCCACGTGTCTTCTGCTCCTAGCCCCCCTCCTGCTAATCCCGTGATTCATCCTTCTACCTTTCCCTTCGCTCCGTCCTCCCCTCTCCTGCCTGAGGGGCTGCACTAATTATACGCGGTAGGTAAGGAAGCTATACTCCCACGGGGTACGATCAAAAATGAGGAGGGCAGGCACCGAGAGTTCGGGACATACGTTTTGAATGGCACGCGTGCAGATAAAAGCGAACAATGTCAAACCGATTGTTGTTGTTGTTGTTGATGTCGCTGAATTGTCACCCTTGGCAATTACTTGTTGGTTCCCACACCGGTGCATCCTTTTTTCAACTGAGGTGTCCCCTTCGGGGCCCGCACTTCGTTTTTTTACCAAGAGAAATCTTCGCGCTCAAAATGTGCCCCTGACCTCCTGGCTACAGCGATAATGGCTCCCGCTTGATATTTCCTCGCGATATATTCCGAAATCGCGCTCCCGCGCGGAACCTCCTCATAATTGATGCAAGGATCGCGCTCTCGCGTGGGACCTCTTCGCAATTTCTTCAGACACCGCGCCCGCGACACTCAGGCATCAAGCTCTCGCCTTGGCTTTTCTCATGATTTGCTTGGCATGCGCGCTGTCGCTGGAGATTTCCTCGCGATTCATGAAATATTCACGCTTCAGCAGCCCGCCTGCTCGACCTGGCCGCCTGGGGCCGCCTTCCCGACTCGCCCGCTAGGGTCTGCCCGCCCGAGCTGCCCGTCTGGTTATACCACGTGTTTTCTGTTCCTAGCCCCCCTCCTGGTAATTTGTCCTGTGCTGCATCCTTCTCCCTCCCCCTTCCATCCGTCCTCTCTTGCCCTGAGTTAGGGGCTGCGCTAAATGCGCGTGGCAGGTTAGGAAGAAGTACCCCCAAGGGGGTACGATCGAAGACGAAGAGGGCGGGTACCGAGGGTTTGGGATGTACGTGTTGCGTGGCGCGCGAACACTTAGGAGCGAACATCTTATAATGATTGTTGTTGAATCCTCACACTTGAAAAATAATTATTGTTGATCCCCGCCCACCGGTGCGTATTGAATATTTCAATTGAAGTGCTCCCCCCGTGACTCGCACCTGTTTTTGTTATCAAAGGAAGTCTTCCTGCTGAAACTGTGCCCCTGGCCCCCAGGGTAGAACAACAACTGCTCCCGCCTGATACTTCTTCTCAACTTATCCCGGAATCGCGCTCGCCCACGGGACTTCCTCAAATGTATACAAGAATCGCGCTCTCGCGTGGGACTTCGTTACAATTTCTTCAGACGCCGCGCCCTCGACACTCAGGAATCACGTTCTCGCTTTGGCTTTTCTAATGATTTGCTTGGAAATCCCACTTTCGCTCGAGACTGCCTCCCGATTCCTGCAGGATTCACGCTTCAGCAACCCTCCTGCTCGACCTGGCCGCCTGGGCCCGCCTTCCCGACCCGCCCGCTAGGGTCTGCCCGCCCGATCTGCCCGTCTGGTTATACCACGTGTTTTCTGCTCCGAGCCCCCTTCCTGCTAATTTCTCTCGTGCTCCATCCTTCTCCCTCCCCCTTCCGTCCGTTCTCTTTTCCCCTTGTTTTAGGGGTTGCGCTAAATGAAGAAGTACCCCCAGGGGTACGATCGAAAACGAAGAGGGCGGGTACCGAGGGTTTGGGATATACGTGTTAATGGCACGCGAGCAGATAATTAGGAGCGAACAGTCTTAGCATCATCGCTGTCGTGGTTGTGGTTGTGGTTGTGATTGTGGTTGCGGTTGTGGTTGTTTTTGCTATTGTTGTTGTTGTTGTTGTTGTTGTTGTTGTTGTTGTTGTTGTGGTTGTTTTTGTTGTTGTAGTTCTGGCACCTGGGGTCCTTACTTGGCCCAACGACCGTCAACAAAACTGTTGAAGGACTAAGATCAGGTCCCGGGGGGGGGAGGCCGAGACATCCAGGAATTCGCGCTGCGAAGAAACCACGAGCCCAAGGCGGCGGCGGCAAAGTCCTGGCCCTCCAGGAACCACTTGGAGCCATAGACTGCGAAATTCCCGCACAGCGTGACAAACAGGAGCACGTTGGCGAAAAATGCGACGGCCGTCTTGCCAAAGACGCCCGACATCGCTGGGTCAGGGGCGTAGACCATGTAGGCGTAGACCGCTGAGGTCGCAATGCCCCAAATGGCGCCAGGCCAGGAGAACGAGAAGCTCTGGTAGAACCTTTTGGCCACGCAGAGGGGGGTGGCATGGGAGAGCACATGTCAAAGAACACGATGTGATGGCAAACCTGTGCTGCGTATTCCACATGCAGAATTTACTTGAGTGCGCTCAACCCGCGACTTGCCGGGTCAGCGTGACTTTGCAGCTACAACAGGGACGCATGGCATCTACAAGAAATCTGCGAACCGAATGATCACAACATGATGACTGCATTTGAAGTGCACGAGCGCGTCATCCGCTTCTGATCGTGCCTGTTTTCCCAGCCCCGAGGTGGATGCACAGAGGGTCCCGATAAGGGCGGCCAGAAACCTAAGCCAGCCGTCCGAAATCTAGCTTCCCTGGAGCGACTTGACACGAACGGCACGAGGGCACTATCAATTAACATCGAATCGGGGAATCATATCGAAACACAACGTGCACCGAGTCGGGCCGCATCGTCATGGAGTCTGAATCGAATCGCACTGGCCGCGCAAGGATGCACAGCAACGCCACGCCAATATCGGGCCACACTGGATTGTCGGAGTGCCGAATCGGATCGAGCCGCGCAACGCCGAATTGACTCGTCGTGCCTCAGCCGGCCCGAGACCGCAGGAGAGGACGCCTGGCACCGCACGCTTCGTCAGGACCGGCGCAGCACCGAAGAGCGTGGGAGACACGAACCCGCCACTTTGCCGCATGCACTACGGTCGGGAGCTTTTGCTTAGCGTCAAGTCGGGCCTGTCCCCCTGCAGGGGCATTTTCGAGGCACAAGAAAATAGTCCAAACAATACCCAAACAAACAACAAATACTTCAAACATCGTCCCCAGACTATGTTTTGACTATTTCTGCACATTCCTCCTGTAGAGGGACACGCCCGACGTCAGTTCAGCGTGTTGCCCCGGCGGCCCCGGCGACACGCCGTGCCTTGCGGGCGGCGAGCGCGTCGCTCCGCTCCGCGGGGTGGGAGGCTCGGAGAAGCTTGGGACGATTGAGGCCCGGGGGCCGGGAAGTGGCCAGCGTGTCTAGACGCGCCGAGGCTTGGTGCTGTCAGGTTCGCTGCCCTGTGTTGTCTAGAGGCCTGCCGGCTCTCCAGAGCGTCTCCATGTCATCTTCACAGCCGTCGTCGTCGGCGCCCCTGTGACTGAAGCGTGCACCGTGAGGTGCATCGTGAGACACCTGTCGAGACGAGGGGATGGGCGCAGGGAAGATACGAGGGACGATGGGGATAATTCGGGTGACGCCGCGCGGAGGCCACAACACTGGCAGCGAACCTTGCAAGATTGGTGTGCCTGAACAGGCGGACGCACGCGCTATCCCAAAAATCCCAGCCGTAGGTGGCCGGAGGGGTCAACATCGGATCGCGACGTCGCATGCGATCGGCACGCGCGGTGGATGCTTCCTCCGCCTCGAAGCTCGGACGCAGCTGTGCTCGCCTGCCGGCTGACGCCTCTTCGAGGTGAGCCCCCCCCCCCCCCCTCCCGCGGGGGCCCACCCAAACGTTGCCCCGCCCAGTGCTCCTGGCGTGGTGCAGCCGCGGCGACGAGGACCCCTGCGATCCGATGTCGTGATTTTTTCAATGCGGGGTCCACGGAAGTCTCGACCCATTCCCCCGGACCAGCTTCCCATCCCGAGTCCTTCTTCGACGGCCCCGAGGCCCGGCGAGGGCCCCCCATTGGGGGCCGAACTCTGCGACACACCTCCGTCTCGACTTCTTCAAGGCGTTGGATCTCTGGGGCTGCAGCCTTCGCGGAAGGTCGGGTCGGGCGAAAGGGGGGGATAGCAAAGGGGGGGGTTGAGAATCAGCTCACGTAGCTGATTTCCCCGGCGCCTCCCGGCGCCGGGAGGCGGCCATGTATCGAGGAATGGGCCCGGCGGCGGGGCCGAAACCAGCTGCATGCAGCAAATTTCGTAACCCCCCCTATCCCAATCCCCCCCTTTCGCCCGGCCCGAGCCTCGGCCACGCACACTCCTGGCCCCCGGCCTGCGGAGAGCGGCGGGACGACCGGAGCCCCTCGTGAGCCCGAGGCGGTCCCCCTTCCAGCGCCTCGGCTCTGCGCGCCCGCCCCTGCAGGCTAGGCTGGAGGAGGAGGAGGAGGAGGAGGAGGAGGAGGAGGAGGAGGAGGAGGAGGAGGAGGAGGAGGAGGAGGAGGAGGAGGAGGAGGAGGAGGAGGGGAGGAGGAGGAGGGAGGAGGAGGAGGAGGAGACGCGGGGATCTCTCTCTCTCTCTCTCTCTCTCTCTCTCTCTCTCTTCAAAACGAAGACACTCCCGGTGGGTTCTGTGGCAGCACGGGACTGCCGCCGCAGCTCCTCAGCGCCAAGTCGCCAGCGGCGGCAGAGGGAGTGCTCGCGCGGAGGTGCGAGCGCGCAAGGGGGGCTTGGCTAGGCCCAGGCGCAGCATGAGCCGCAACCCGAACCGCCCAGCCCCAGCCGCAGCCGCGTCCGCAGACCGGGTCGCAGCCGCAGCCCGAACCGCAGTTGGGCGAACCGAACACAGGCTGGGGCCCACGGTCCTGGGAAGGTACAGCGAAGAGGCTCCCCGGCTTTGGCATCCGAGGAGAACTGGAGGGATGGCCCTGGAAAGACGCAGAAATGGCCGCCCGGCCGCCCGGGCGTAAGCGCGTATTCCTGCATTTGCCGTCGCCCCGGGCCCTGTTCGGAGAGGAGCGGGCGTGACGAGACGCCCGCGCAAGCGTTCCATGCGTCTCTACGGATACGACCGTCGGCTCGGCTGTCGAAACACCTGGCAACAGTGGATGGGGAGACAGGGAGAAAAGGGGGGCAGAGGAGAAGGAGAGGGCCAGGTGGGGGCCAGGAGGGTGAGACGGAAAAGGGAGGAGCGGGATGGGGAGCAAGGGCCCCCCCCGACATTATCCCTTGAATTCTGGCGGCGGTTCTGGGCGATCCGGGCACCCCCAACGCTTTCGGCGAGGCGTGGCCGCTGGGCGGCACCCCGAAGCTGGAAAGCCGCCGGGAACCGACACATCTCGGAATTCGCACCTTGCCGCGCCCTCGTTCACGCCACTCTTCGTGGCGAGGCGTCAGGACGCGAGGGATGGGGCGGGCGGGCTTCTGGTGGAACCTCCGCGTGGTCTTCCCGACCAGCTTGGCCTCCAGCAGAGACTCCCAGATCGCAGGTCCGGACTGCACGCTGCCTCTTCGGCCTCGGGGGGCGCCGCTGCCCGCCGCCGTCTGTAAACGCCCTGCGACGCACCCGACCCCATCTGCAACAAGCGACGCGGGACGTTGGCCAAAAAATGCATCTTCAACCGCAGCGCGAGCGCCGTCCACTTTTCCGAAAACTACATGGGATACGCGCGCGTTGCACGATGCGCGGGACAGCAGTACGAGGAGCGAAAAGGCCCCAAGCTTGAAGAGGAACGGGGGCGGGAACGGTGGGCAGGATAAGGACGGACAAAGAGGACCCGAAAGTTAGCTTGGCAGCAGCGGGGATACGGTGGCAACGGGGAGGAGGACGACGACGAAAGGGGCGGGACCAGAAAGGGGGGTGACGTTTTTGTGGATGGCGTGCTGGACAAACGGCGCTGCGCGCGCCCCGTCGCTCCAAAGGAGCAGCTGTTCCTAGCTAGTGCAGACAGCGAGCGAGGCCTAGCTCGCCCGCCAGCTTTTCGGCCTCCTACCTGCACAGCTCAGTGCGGGAGGTGTACGCCCGTCAGCGCGTCACCAGGTCTGCGGGCGGCCCGCGGGAAAGGAACTCCAGGACGGGGTCGCGCACCATCACCAAGTTGTCCATCGTCGTCGCTCTTGAGAGCATCGCGTAGGAGATGCAGCTCGAGGGCTTCAAGGTCCTCCGCGTCCATGCGTCCAACGTGGACAATGACTCCGCGGTGCCTGGTCCAGCCTTGGCAGGCCGTGGACGTCACTCCGCTGGATACCAGCAGCCTTCGAAAGTGGCGGCAATTTCGCAGATCACAGGCCCCCAAGGATGGCGAGGTCAAACTCACATCCGCGCATGACGTCGCTCCGCTGGGCCCCCCAGCAAGCCTCGAAAATGGCGACTGCTTCGCAGTTCGCAGCCCCACCCGGGGATGGCGAGATCTGATTTAGATCTGCGCATGACGTCAACCGCTGGACCCCCCAGCAGCCATCGAAAGTGGCGACCGTTTCGCAGTTCGCAGCGCCTCAAAAATGACAACGCCGAATATTGACTTGCGTATGAAGTCACTCCGCTGGACCCCCCAGCACCCACCAACATTGGCGGCAATTTTGCAGATCGCAGCCCCGCCCCGGGATGGCGAGATCCAATTTAGATCCGCGTATGACGTCACTGCGCTGGACCCCCAACAGCCATCGAGAATGGCGACTGTTTCGCAATTCGCAGCCCCTCAAGGATGACAACGCCGGACTTTAATCCGCGTATGACGTCACTCCGCTGGACCCCCCAGAACCCCCCAACATTGGCGGCAGTTTCTCAGTTCGCAGCCTCCCAAGGATGGCGAGATCCAATTTAGATCCGCGTATGACGTCACTCCGCTGGACTCCCTAACACTGCTCGACAATGGCGACAATTTTGCAGATTGCAGCCCCCCCACGGATGGCGAGGTCTAATTGAGATCCGCGTATGACGCCACTCCGCTGGAACCCCCAACGGTTCGCGAAAATGGCGACCTTTTTGCAGATCGCAGGCCCCCAGGGATGGCAAGGTCAAATTGAGGTCTGCGTGCGACGTCACTCCGCTGGACCCCCCAACAAACCTCGAACATGGTGACCGTGTCACACTTCGCAGCCCCTCAGGGATGGCGAGGTCAAATTTGGATCCGCGTATGAAATAACTCCACTGGTCTCCATCAGCCTTCAAACAGGGCAACACTTTCAATCGCCCCCCCCCCCCCCAGGATGGCGAGGTCTATTTGAGATCCGCGCATGGTGTCACTCCGCTGAACCCCCCAGCAGCCCTCGAACGTGGCCACCGTTTCGCAGACCTCAGCCCCCAAAGGATGGCAAGGTCTAATGTGGATCCGCGTGTGACGTCACTCCGCTGGACCCCCCAGCGGCCCTCGAAAGTGGCGGCAATTTCGCAGATCGCAGCTCCCCCAAAGATGGTGATGTCTAATTTAGCTCCGCGTATGACGTTACTCCACTGGACCCCCAGCAGCCCTCGAAAGTGGCTGCAATTTCGTAGTTCGCAGCCCCCCAGGATGGCGACGTCTAATTTAGATCCGCGTATGACGTTTCCCCGCTGGACCACCCAGCAGCCCTCGAACGTGGCGACCGTTTCGCAGATCGCAAGCCACCAATGGATAGCGAAATCAAATTTAGGTCCGCGTGCGACGTCACTTGGCCGGACCCCCAAGTAGCCCTCGAAAGTGGCAACCGTTTGGCAGATCGCAGCCCCCCCCCCAGATGGCGAGGTCAAGTCTAGATCAGCGTATGACGTCACTTCGCTGGGCCCCCCAGCACCGCTCGGAAGCGGCGACAATTTCGCAAATCTCAGCCCCCAAAGGATGGCAAGGTCTAATGTGGATCCGCGTGTGACGTCACTCCGCCGGACCCCCCAGCGGCCCTCGAAAGTGGCGGCAATTTCACAGATCGCAGCCCCGCCAAAGATGGCGATGTCTAATTTAGATCTGCGTTGGACGTCACTCCGCTGGACCCCCCAGCGGCCCTCGAAAACGGCGGCAGTCTCGCAGATCGCAGCTCCAAGGGATGGCAATGTCAAACTTAGATCCGCGTATGGCGTCACTCCGCTGGACCCTCCAGCAGCCCTCGAAAATGGCGACTGTTTCGCAGTTCGCAGCCCCACCCCCGGGATGGCGAGATCTAATTTAGATCTGCATATGACGTCACCCGCTGGACCCTCCAGCAGCCATCGAAAGAGGCGACAATTTCGCCCCCCCCCAAAAATGGCAACGTCAAACTTAGATCCGCGTATGGCGTCACTCCGCCGGGCCCCCCCAGCAGCCCTCGAAAATGGCGACAGTTGTGCAGATCGCAGACCCCCCTGGGATGGCGAGATCCAATTTAGATCCGCGTAACGTCACTCCGCTGGACCCCCAGCAGCCCTCGAACGTGGCGACAGTTTTGCAGTTCGCAGCCCCCCAGTGATGGCGAGGGTCAATTTAGATCCGCGTATGACGGCACTCCGCTGGACCCCCCAGCAGCTCTCGAAAGTGGCCACAATTCTGCAGATCGCAGCCCCCCCAGGATGGCGAGGTCTGATTCAGATCCGCGCATGACGTCTGGGCCCCCCCAGCAGCCCTCGAGAGTGGCGACAGTTTGGCGGCCCGCATTCCCCCGCAGCCACGGCGAGGGGGCAGGGTAACCAGCAGGCAGGGCAGGAGGCAGGGCAGAAGGCGGGCGGGAGGCCCGGGGGCGGGCAGGCGGGCAGGGAGGCGGGCAGGCGGGCAGCGTGCGAGCCCCGGCGCTCTCCCGTTCAGAGCGAGAGCCCAACGCAGGAGCGCGGGGAAAGCCACGACGGGACGCCTTCGGACGCCTGCGACCTCCCTGGGGGAGGGGGGGGGCCCGCGGGGCCCGGGGACCGCCAACAGCCACAGGGGATGAGAGGCCGGCCCCGCACGGGGAAAGGGCCGGGACTTCCGGAGGCCCCGCCCCGCACAGCCCGAGGCATCGGGTGGCTTGGGCCTGTGCTCGCCTGCCTGCCCGCCCTCGCTCGTCCAGGGCCACCCCCTCCAGCAGCCCACTCTCTGTTGATCCAGGTCCCCACCATGCCCTCCCTGCCCACCTCCCCTGTCCGTCCCCCAGGCCGTGCCTCTCCCCTCGGACTCCCCCTCCCTGTCCTCCTCCCCCCCTCTCCTCTGCTCCGCTCTTGCCATGCCCTCTCCTCCCCTCCTCTCCTCCCCCCTTCCTCCCTCCCTTCCCCTCTCTCTTCGATCTTGCCCCGCCCTTCCTCCCCCCTCCCCTCCCCCCGCCCTTCCCGCCCCTCTCCCCGCCCCTCCACCCTCTCCTCCTCCACCTCCCGACCCGTGCCCCCCCCCCCTCCCCTTCCCCCTCGGCCCGCCCTGGCCGCAGCGGGTGGGCCCCCCTTGCCCCCGCAAACCCCTCGGGCCTCCGTCGGACCTGGGGCTGGGCGCTGACGCGCCGGGCCGCCCGGAGCTGAGCGCCGCTGGGCCCTCCGGCGCCGCGCCCAGCCGGGAGTACTTCGGCTCGGCCGCCTGCAGATTCAGCACCACGGCGTCCGGGGAGACGCGGTCCTTGACCACGAGTGCCGAGGCCTGCCCGCGCTGCTTTGCCACCGCCGGTGCCCGCCGCCGCGCCGCCGCCGCCGTCGCCGCCGCCGCCGCCGCGTCGTCGTCGTCGTCGTCGTCGTCGTCGTCGTCGTCGTCGTCGTCGTCGTCGTCGTCGTCGTCGTCGTCGTCGTCGTCGGCGGCGGCGGCGGCGGCGGCGGCGGCGGCGGCGGCGGCGGCGGCGGCGGCGGCGGCGGTAGCGGCTGCGGCGGCGACGGTAGCGGCGGCGGCGGCGGCGGCGTCGTCGTGGTCGTGGTGGTCGGGGTGGTCGTGGTCAATGTCGTTGTCATGGTCGTGGTGGTGGTGGTGGTGGTCGTCGTCGTCGTGGTCCTTCTCCTCCCTCCGTCCTGGCGCTGACGCCGGCCGCTGGCCAGTCCTACGCCTCCTCCTGATCCTCTTCCTCCTGCTCCTTCTCCTCCTCCTCCTCCTCCTCCTCCTCCTCCTCCTCCTCCTCCTCCTCCTCCTCCTCCTCCTCCTCCTCCTCCTTCCGATCCTCCTCTTCCTCCTCCTCCTCCTCCTGCTGGGCTGGAGGTCCTCCTCCCCCGCCTCCTCCTCGCCCCCGCCCCCAGCCACTCTGTGCCGTCTGAAAGCCTCTTCACGAGGCTGCCTGCCTGGGGCAGCCAGAACGGGCTGGGGCGATGGGGAACCCTGGCTCGCTTCGCTCTGCTTCTCCAGCCTCACACACCTCTGAGATCCGACGTTGCAAGCAGAACTGCACCATCGCAACAGAAACACGACCGAAGCCCTAGACCCCTTTCTTTCTGCAGTATCTCCCGAGACGGATCGATCTGTGAGGGTCTCGAGGCCCGACAGAAAACAAGATCGCCAGTTGTGAGACATGCGACGCCACGATCTCAGGGAATGCTGAAGCTCTTTGGCGGCGAACCCCTCGCGCGTGCGCCGTGCGCGGCGGGCGCCCGCCCGGCTCCCCCGGGCCACGGCTGCTGAGCTCGGCCCCGCCGAGCTCGGTCCGTCGCCCGCGGCGAGCTGGCCCTGGCGAGCCCGGCCACGCCGAGTGGACTCCTGGCGCTGCGGCTGCTTCACGGCCCAGGCAGGATCGCGCCGTAAACAAAAATCAGTGAGTGAAACGCCGTGTGTCCAACTGGCACATGAGCAATTAGGGCATGGCAGCGAACGGCGGGTGCTGGGCTGAGCACCTCGCGTGCCAAAAGGCCCCCTGATTCATAGCACTACGGCCAGCAACAAAAATCAGGACGGAGGCCTTTCTCGATTTTCGGCCCTTAGGGGGCCCTCGCCAGGCCCTCGGACGGTCAAACAACAACTCAGGATGACAAACCGGCCCCTGGGAGAAGGTCTGGACTTCTGGGGACGCCGCGCTGAACACATCAGGACGTCGCATGTCTGGGGACGGGTGTCTTCGCCTCGTTCTGGGCCCCGGGACCCGCACAGGTCGATCTGGCCCCAAAAATGACGCAGCAGGATGGGGTCAAGGGCTCTGGTCGTGATTTTCAGCGATGCTGCAACTTTTTCGCGCCGTCAGATCTCAAGGATTTGGCAAGGTCGAACCGGGCCCGCCCTTCGCGCAGACCCCCAACGTCCTGTGTTTTATGTTGTTTTTTTTTCCCGACGTCTGCCCCCGGATGTCTGGGCCCCTTCCCGAGGACCGGGGCTTTTCATCCTCGGTGTTTAGAGGCCTCCTAGATGGGGTCCGAGTAGATGGGGTCGAAGGATCTCGCAACATCGCCGATACATCGGCGATGCATCGCCGATGCATCGGCGATGCATTGGCCATGCACTGGCGACGTCGGCGGTACATCCGCGACGTCGGCGCGGGGAACATTGGGCTCCACATCGAGCCGCATCGCCGATGCATCGCCGATGCATCGGCGATGCGGCATCGGCGATGCGGCGCGATCCTCCGACCCCATCTACTTCGAGCCCATCTAGGAGGCCTAGAGTTAAGTCGGGCGTGTCCCCCTACAGGGGGATGTTCGACGAAAGTGCTCAAAACATATTTCCAAATGGTCAGAATATTTTTTTTAGAAATAGTCACTAGACTATCCTTTGACTATTTTTGACTATTCCCCCGGTAGGGGGACAGGCCCGACTTAAGCCTAGAGTGTTCTTGGGCGGTCCTGGACCCCGAGAGGAGGAGCATGGCACCATCCTTTCGCCAGGCTTTTTCCCCCACGGCCGGGGGCGTCTGGGCTCGGGGGCCCTCCAGGCCCCTGCTCTCTCACTTGGCGGCGCGCAAAAGGGGGTAGGGGGAGGGGGGAAGTCTTCTTAGAAGCGCCCTGCTTCTCAGAAGGCCTCGGCCGGCCCGCGCCTTCTAAGAAGCAGGGGTGCTTCTAAGAAGCCTTCCCCCCTCCCCCTACCCCCCTCGGCGCGCCGCCAACTCGCGGCGGCGAGGGGGTCTGGGCCTCCGTGGGGGGGGCGGCCTCCGTGGGGGGGGGCTCGCCTCGGGAGGGGCTGCCGGGGCGCCGAGCCCGGACGGGGCGCCGAGCTCCGACCCCCCCTCACAACAGTGGGGGCCCGGAGCCGCGAGGGACCTGCCACAAAAGCAGCCCAGGCGGCTGTCCACCCCCCAGTCGAAGGGCAGGCTTGGAACAGTTGGCCTCCGCCCCTCGTGCCTCAAACTATAGGATGCCCATGCTTGTCGATGGGTAGGCATTGGCATGTCGCCCTCGTTGGCAACCCCGAGACCCCAGGGCGTCCGTTGACTGGTGGCGTGGGAGCGTCGCGCCTTCCGTGGCGAAATCGCCGGAACCCGGGAAGCCCCGGGCACCCTGGAGGCAAGCAGGGCGTTTCTCGGCATGGGCCCCCCCCCGTGTGCGCCGTGGGGGTGCCGGCACGCCGTCTTCGAAGCCCCGGCAGCCTGGGAAGGGGGGGGAGGGCAGGCGGCCAGCGAGTCGGCCCGCACCCGTGCGGTGGATACCCAATGGATACCCAGACCCCCTCGGGCAATGGGGCCCTTGCCCGCCCTTGAGACTGTCAAAGAACGACTCGGGATGGAAAACCGGTCCAGGGGAATGGGTCGGGACCTCCAGGGGTCGACGCAATGAAGAGATCATGACGTCGGGGGTCTGGGTCCCCCCGCGTTGGGGGCCCTGGGATCCCAGCGCTGCGACTCTTTCACGACGGGGGTGCTCGCCCCGTTGCGGGCCACGGGACCCTCAGAGAGCGATCTGGCTCGAAAAAGTATGCAGAAGGATGGGTTCCGGGGCTCGGGTCGTGATTTTTTGGCGACGTTGCACTTTTTCCGCGACGTCGGATCCCAAGGGAGAAAATCACGGCAGAGGCTTTGGGGCCCTTTCCGGCCTCTGGGGGCCCTCGCCGGGCCACGGGGCCGTCGGGAAACGCCTCGGGATGAGCGTCGTGAGAGAATCACGGCGTCAGAGCTCTGGGGCAGGTGGCACCGCGAGTCGGCCCACATCCAGGCGGTGGGTTCTCCAAAGTGTTCGATGCCGGTCGAGACCTTCGTCCTCCGTCGCGGCAGTGCGGAGCAAGCCTGGTGCCCGTGAGATCGCCTCTCGCGGCGTGCCTCCGAGGAAGTGCGAAACGGGAAGGGGAAGAATGGCAACAGCAGGCACGAGGCGTCGACACGTGGCCGCAGGAGCGCGGGCCCCACGAGCATGGGCCGCCCCGCCACAAGGCCCAGGGGCCCATATGGAGGCCCCCAGCGGCGGAGAGCTCCCGCGTGGAGGGCCCCGAGCACGAAGAGCGTGGGGGGTCCCTCTCCGAATTCAGGGCCGCTCCCAGACCTTGTGCCAGCCGCAAGCGCGGGGCAGCGGACCGCGGGGGTCGTGGTGGTGGATCGGGCGAGCGTGTGGATTCGGTGCTCGTGGGGGAAGGGGGGGGGCTCCTCCTCCTCCTCCTCCTCCTCCTCCTCCTCCTCCTCCTCCTCCTCCTCCTCCTCCTCGCTCCTCGCTCCTCGCTCCTCGCTCCTCCTCCTCCTCCTTCTCATTCTCTTGCTCCTCCTCCTTCTCCTACTCCTCCTCCTCCTCCTCCTCCTCCTCCTCCTCCTCCTCCTCCTCCTCCTCCTCCTCCTCCTCCTCCTCCCCCTCCTCCTCCTCTTCCCCCCCGCTGCTCCCCCTCAGAAGAGCTCCACCCCGGCGGGTGGCCGCCCCGCCCCGAGCCCTCGAGCGCGCCGGGGGCGGTGCCCAAGAGCAGGCCGCCCCACAGCAAGGCCGCACCGGCGTCGCAGGTTCCCAGCGCGCGGGGGAGGAGAGCAGGAGGAGGAGGAGGAGGAGGAGGAGGAGGAGGAGGAGGAGGAGGAGGAGGAGGAGGAGGAGGAGGAGGATGATGAGGATGAGGAGGAGGAGGAGGAGGAGGAGGAGGAGGAGGAGGAGGAGGAGGATGAGGATGAGCAGGAGCGATGGATGAGGAGGAGGAGGAAGCGATGATGATGCTGCAGATGCTGATGATGATGGTGCTGATGATGCTGATGATGATGCTGATGATGATGCTGCTGATGATTCTGATGATGATGAGGACGAGGATGAGGATGATGGTGCTTATGCTGATGCTGATGCTGATGACGACGAGGATGAGGATGATGGTGCTTATGCTGATGCTGATGCTAATGACGATGCTGATTATTACGATGAGTATGCTGCTGATGATGGTGATGATGTTGGTGATGATGGTGAGTAGGAGGAGGAAGATGAGGGGGAAGAGAGCGAGGAATAAGAGGAGGACGAGGAAGAGGAGGAGGAGGAGTAGGAGTAGGAGTAGGAGGAGGAGCAGGAGGAGGAGGAGGAGGAGCGAGGAGCGAGGATCGAGGGGCGAGGAACGAGGAGGGAAGCGAGGGACGAGGAAGAGGGAGCGATGATGATGATGCTGATGCTGATGCTGATGCTGATTATGCTGATGCTGCTGATGCTGATGATGAGGATCATAATGAGGATGAGGATTAGGAAGAGGATGATGATGCTGCTGATGATGATGAGTATGCTGATGATGACGATGATGCTGCTGTTGATGATGCTGCTGATGATGCTGCTGATGCTGATGATGCTGCTGATGATGA